CTTTTTGCTGTGGAGCCACAGAGGTGGAACAACCTATTTCTTACATTGTCCTCTACAATCACACTTGCATTCATACACAGACATTCAGAGGTTAAAACATTCCAACACCCTCCCCTCGGGAGTCCCTCAAACTGAGACCAAGACCAAATCAAAAATAGGCAAGAAGCTTTGATTCTCACAACCAGGACTGAGTCAGAAACAGGCAAGAAGCTTTCATTCTCATAGAGGGGTCACCAGTCCCTCCTTCTGCCCAAAACTGGGGCAAGTCTAACTAGGTAAACTAGTGAGAGTGCCCCGGAGTCTCACCTCCTCCAACAACCGTACTAGACAATGCATCCTTATTCACTTTGTGTTCAGAGAGCCACAGGCAGCAAGCAGTTGTCATCCTTGGTCCTCCTGGAGAGACTCAGAGAAAGGACTCAGGACACACCGTCCCTTCAAGAGGCTGGGGAGGACCCTCGCTCCTTCTGCAAGGGTTTTGACCAATCAAGTGATCAGAGCAGCTGATTCATTCTGAGTGAGCCCTCAAAATGTAGCAGCAAATTGTCAGTCAGTATGTACAGCTCTAGTGTTGCAGCTCTAGTCTCTACAGCTCAACACAGGTAGTCCAGGAGAATGGAGGACACACCCAGGAGTCTCACAGGAAAAGTATACAGCTTTATTCTTAACTCAGGCGGGTCAGTCTGGGACTTCTGGGCAAAGAGACTGACCACTAATTGAGCCAGAGCTGGGCTGTTATGCCCTTAGAGAAGGGGTGGGGTTACAGGAACTAGACATTTAATATCATTTCATTGGTTAGAAAGTTACAAGTTTCAATGCTTTAGTTATATATGGGCCCAGTAACCTTATTGGTTACAGAATTTCACATATAGAGGGTACATTTGTTAACACAGTGTACTGAATTTCACCTTTGCATATGGCAAGAAGATGGGAGTAACATAATTAAGAACAAAGAAAATTCCTGAGATGTTTGAGGGAGCTGGCCCCAGGCAAGCCTGGGCATGTTAGAAATATTGGAGGGAAGTCACCCTTCCTTGTTAGCTAGTACAGCTTTAGATATAGAGAAGTTTATTTCCCTTTTAACATTAAGCATCACTGCTGGACCTGTGAGGAGAGCTTGCACAACAGCTGTTTATTCTGAGCATAGCCTAGGACCTCAACTTGTGCAGGTGGGTGACAACTGCAGCAATACCAGGAATGCCAAGCTAGACATCACTGAGGCACAGGGAGATGATGATGGCAGAACACTCCCTTCTCGGAAGGTGGCAAGGCCATGCAGAACACCTGGCAGCTCTAGTGACAACCATTGACATGGCACCAGGGCTGGTGAAAGATGCCTCCAAGCCAGCATGCTGGGTGCCTGACCACGAGATCCTGCCCTGCCAACAACTGCCACAAGGAGCTCAGTGACAGGCTCTCCAAGCACCACCGCTGCACCTGTGGCCAGGGCTTCTGTGACAAGTGTTCCCATGACTGCCAGCCTGTGCCCTCCGGAGGCTGGAAATATCCTGTTCAAGTCTGCCTCAACTTCAACGAAAGGACCCACTTCCCTTCATGAGTCCTTCACAATTCTTTAGGTTGTCAAGGTTAGAAAACAAGTCTCATTAAGGTAGGCTTCCCTCATGGCAGTTGTGTTTCCTCTCATCTTGTCCTGGGGCCACTTAGGAGAGGGTGAGCCCAGCCGCAGGCCTGAAAACACAGACCCCTCAGGGTAGGGGATGGACTGAGCAGCTCTTGGCAAAGAAGAAGGAACCTGAATGCATCGCATTTATTTCAGTTTTTAAAATTAAATATATCTCTATATATAGCTATGAAAGGAACTTGAAGTGTATAGAGGTTGTTGTTGCCTGCAAAGACTCATCCTAGTCTGGCCCCTCACAGCGATAAGGTGACTGTGGCAGCAAGACTTCTCCACATAAGGAAGCCCCATGTTGCTGGTCACCTTTTGCTGCTGCTAGGAGCCTAGGCAGCTTTCCTTCCCTACCTTTTCCCCTTCTGCCCCTCAGCTGCCTGCACTGAGAGCTGCCCACCCTGCTCCTATGTGAAGCATTTGGAAGGGAATGCCACTCGGCCCCCTGGAGAGTTGGATCCCAAATCTTGGCTTAGTCCTGTTTTAGCCAGAGAACACTTAGCTTAGTGTGCAGGGCCCTGGAGTGTGCTGAGAGTTGGAGGATGGGTCTTCAGCCCTGAGAAATGAAAAGGCAGTGGCTGCACTGTCCCTCATAGGGAGTATGGAAGGAATTGGGTCTTACCTGACAGCATTTCCTGCTTGTTGACTTCTGTCTCCAGACAGCCTTCCTAGAAGGCTGCCCCCTGCTTCTAAATTAAAGCATTGGCAACCTCTTCCTCTGCCTCCAGCCCATGATTTACTTCTTAATGTCACACTAGGATTTTTATTGTTTAATTTAAAGTGCTTTAATTCTTTGTTCCAAGATACACAACCTTTCTAGCTATTGGAGGAGTGATCAAGAAATCTCCCAGGAGCCGGGCATGGTGGCGCACACCTGTAATCCCAGCACTTGGGAGGCTGAGGCAGGAGAATCGCTGTGAGTTTGAGACCAGCCTGGGCTATATAGTGAGTTCCAGGTCAGTCTCAAATACATAGTGAGAGGGCTGGGGATTTAGCTCAGTGGTTCCAGAGCCTGCCTTATAAGCACAAGGACCTGAGTTCAATCCCCAGTGCCAAAAAAATAAAAAATATAAAATACATAGACCTGTCTAAAAAAAAAAAAACAAAAAAACAAAAAAAAACAACTAAATATAATGTGATACATTTAATGAAATTCTGGGATAGAAAAGAAATGTTTGGTTAAGCTAAAAAACAATCTGCACTTTAATAATAATGTATCGATGTTGGCCCAATAATTTTGACAAATACATGCATCATCCTAATGCAAGTTGTGAATACAGGAGAAATTGGGTATGGGGTATAAAGGAACCCTGTACTATTTCCTTCAATTTTTCTGTAAATCTAAAATTGTTCTAAAAAACAAAGTTGATTTAAGTTTTCAGTTATTCTAATAAAAGCCTACCACTTACACATTATACCATCCTTTCTGTTTAGCCAGAGTAATTTTAGGAGGCTAACATTTGTTAAATCTTAGAGAATTTATGCTGCAAACTGGGAATGGTAGCTACTCAGGAGGACTGCAAGTTCAAGGCTAGTCTGGATAATTTAGCAAGACCCTGCCTCAAACTGCCTCAAACTAAAATATAAAAAAGACTTGGGATGTTGAGGAGTGGTTTAGCACTTTTGGGTTAGACTGCCAGTTGGGAGGCGGTGCATGGCTGTAATCCCAGCACTCTTAGAAGCTGAAGCAGGAGGATCACAAGTTCAAGTCCCCACTGGTCAACTTAGCATTAGCAAGACCCTGCCACAAACTAAAAAAATGAAAAATGGGTGGGGGATGTAGCTCAGTGAAAAACACCTGGCTTCAATCCCTAGTACCAATAAAAAGAAAAAACAGGAAGGAGGAGGAGGAACAGAAAATTTATGCTGCAGACATGTTTAATTCTACTTAATTGAAGTAAAATACACATCTTATTTAATTTATGGTAGCCTCTGGATACTGTACGGATTTTTGAATTAGGAAAATATTTTAAATTAAATGCAGTACTGAAAACTTATTTCAATTTATTTTATTTAACTTAATGACCAGAAGTACACAGAAGCTATAAAAACTTTTAATGAGGTATTTCAAGAAGACAAAGAGGAGGAGGAGGAGAAAGAAGAGGAAGAGGAAGAACAAGAGGAAGAAAAATAGCTAGGGGAGTATGTTAGTGACAAAGCACTTACCTAGAATAAATGAAGCCCTGGGTTTGATACTCACCCAGCACTGCAAGAAGATACATGTCTATCTATCTATCTATCTATCTATGGAGATACACAGACAGAGGAATAGGATGGAGGAGAGGAGAGGAGTGAGGAGGCAAGGGGAAAGGAACAGGGAAAGAAAGGAAGAGAGAAAAGAAGATATTTTATTTAGAAGAGATGAGGCATTTTTACGTTCCATACAAATAGCTTATTCCAGAACTGATGTGTAGTGAAATTAAATAATCTGTGATTTTACAAAACTATATAAGATTCTCTAACTTGTAATTTTATAGAGCCTTTTGTCTTTTCATTTAAGCCTTTCACAGGCACCTTCTAGTAAGTATATTATGGTGACATTTCCCAAATGGAACAAGCAGATGAGTCAGATGACTTATACCAGCTTCTCCATGAATCAGAGGTAGAGCTGTTCCATTGAGTTATTATCCATCAGTCCTAAAGTCATTGTCAGGAGAATCATTTAAATATAAATCATAGTAGGAAAATAAAAATAAGATAACAACTTTCCTACTAGTTTTCAGCCTAGTTGGTTGTTCGAGACCAAATTTGGAAGGGTTCAGACACGTAAAGACACTTCTAAATACAACACAAAGATATAGTTCTCACCTTTAAAAAATACTAATACTGTCGGTGGCCTGCCCTGCAAGTGCAAGGACCCGAGTTTAATCCCCGGTACCCAAAAAACAAAACAAAACAAACAAAAAAAACTAATACTGTATCTGTTACATTTATGATCATCTTAGGGACAGAAAGTAGTAGTCTAAACCCTCTACAGCTGAAGTCCTATACCAAGATTGTTCTTTACGACATTTTTATACCAAAAAAAAAAAACCCCAAAATGCCAAAAACCAAGAATATCTGACAACTGAGTTTTCACGGCTCTTTTTTCTAGTGATGAAGTTTTTTATAAGAACACATACCAGAAATAAAGCATCAGTATTTTGCATACAACACTAAACTTTTCTAAGAATGAACTTACACATACTTCAAAATACATTGGGCCCAGATAATCTTTTGTACTTTTCAAGACTGTGCTAGTAAGATATTATAATCAGGTAACACACTTAAAGCAGTATGGATTTTCCAAAGCATACTGAGAAAAAACACAATAAACATATGTGATCTGACAGTTCTAGAAATGCTGGACATTGTCACAGGAACCACTCACCTTGCTGGTGGAGCCCTTGAGGGCAGTAAGTATTGTGTGTCAAGCAAAGAGCAGATTCTAATCAAATTCCTGGTTGCTTGGTTAAATAACTGATAGTTAAAAATAAAAACACTATATTAGTATGTTTTGCTAGTATAAATTTGTAATGCGAGAAGTAATAAAACCTTAGGACCTTGCCCTTGAGTGTAGCTAGCTTAGTACAAGGTAAAACCTTATTGAATTCAGCAAAGTGGGATTAACTCCAAGAAACCAAAGCCCTTCCTCATTAGAGAGGTGTGGACTCATGGCATTATGGAGTATACCTTTCCTTACATCTTCACCATCTCACCCTTCACAGGGCCACAACAGAGGACTCATATGGGACCATGGACATTATTTCATGATTATCTCAAACATTTCCTCTAATGGGTTTCCTCTAGTGGAGTCTAAGAATGACCTGCAACATTAAGGAAAGTCTAAATTTACCAAGTAATGGTTTAACTTAAATTTTTTGTTAACTTAAATTTCCCAAATCCAAGCAAATGATCCATGAATAGTAAGGCAGGTGATATAGTTCAACAAATGTTATCGAATAGAAAGTGCCATATATAAGTTTTGTTTCCAAAGACCATTATAGCCAAAGTGACTGTTCTAAAGTTAATTCTTTATGCTATAACTGAGTTTACATTCTGGAACCTTGATAGACTACAGAAGGGAGGAGGACAGAGAAGTAAAGCAAACATGGATCCACCCCTTGGGCAACTCTCAAAGGTGTAAAATTCAAATGTTGGCAAGATACAGGATCTGGGCTAAGGAAAAGGTATTGCTAAATAAGTGCAGGAAGATTTAGAGAAAAATGTAGGAGTCCTGTGGGATTTGAACTGAAGCCTAATTTGACATTCTCCCACATGACAAGAGTAAAAACAACAATTTCCTGGTATATAAGTCATCCTTTTCACTAACAAGCCCAAGAAGACATTTGCTTGTTATTTTCTCAGTTACCATCCAGACTCTATACAATTGGTTTTCTTTGAAATATTATTTAAATTAAGCCAAGCATGCTCGCTTCAGCAGCACATATACTAAGTTAAGCCAAGCAACTTTAACATCACATCAAATATTCAAATGGTAGTTTAATTATACTTATTTTTAAATTTTGTGGATTACTTTACTGAAAAGAAATACCTCTTCTAGGAAGTAACCGAATCTGACATTTACAGGGTGAGTCAAATGTCTGCTAAGAGTAAATGAGAGGTATCAAAATCAGAATATTTCTGAAAGAGTTTTCAAAATACAGTGATTATCCTCAGGTGGTGGGTAGATAGAGGCAAGAGTGAGACAACTCACTATGTGCCTCTTTAAATTTATTTTATTTGTTTTTCAGAACTAGAGTCTCATTATGTTGCCTAAGCTGGTATCAAATTTGTGGGCTCAAGTCTCCCACCATAGCCTCAAAGGTAGATGGAACTAGGGGTGTGTGCTGCTGTCTTCTGAATTTTAAATTGTGTGCCTATACTATCTATTCAAAGAAGAAACCACAACTGGGGCTGTTGTGGTTGAACCCAGGAAATACAGCTTGAAAAATTAAATTAACATATTTCCTTTGACATTTTATAAAATTCAACCACTTAATCTGTTGAGAAAATCCTATTCTTAAAACAGTAAAACAAATGTAATCTTACCCCTCATGTTAATAAGCTACACTATCTTGCAATCAGAAAAAAACGCACTGAAATGTTTTCTAGAGACAAAAAATTGTACTTTGGGTCTGGGGATTTAGCTCAGTGGTTCCACCACCTACCTCTTAAATGGAAGGTCCAGAGTTCCAATCCCCGGTTAAATAAATAAATAGTCATTCAAAAGCCATTCTCAACACTCGGCATGGTGGCACATGTCTGTTATTCCAGCAGTCCAGAGGCTGAGGCAAGAAGATTGTCAAGAGTCGGAGCCTGGGCTACATAGTGAGTTCAAGACCAGCCTGAACTACATAGTGAGACCTTGTCTGAAAAAAACAAGAGAGAGAGAGAAAAAAAGGTCATATCAACAATGGTATTTAACTGTGTGTCATCATGTATAATATATTCCTTAGGGCAAGAAAAATGTGCTTCTAAAATTAAAACTTTCAGTTCCCATGAAGAAAAGAGTAAGTTGGACTACACAGGGAAAATAATGTTGTTTCTTTTTCTTTACCAATCTCTTTTTTATTGATCCCAGGGCTAATACAGATACAAAACTCTAACTCTGAGAAAGTAGGATGAGCATGACCACATACCACATATACATGAACAATTTAAGGTGGCTTATTTTAAATCCCACATTAAAAAAACATTTCCAGGCCCAGAGATTTAGCTCAGAGGTACTACTGCCTCCCTCATAAGCCCAAGGGCCTGAGTTCAATCCCTTGTACCAAAAAACAAAAACAAACAAACAAAAATAAAGCCAACTATAGTATCACTGCTATGATATTTAAATGACAAAATCTATTCATGGTGACAAAATATCTCGGAATTATTTTGCTTTACGACTAGTCTCTTTAAAATATTCCATAGATAGAAAACTGCAGGCCAATGTGGAGAATATAGGGCTGGAGAGGCTGGGTGTGGTGGCACACTGTAATCCCAGTGCTCTGAAGCAGAAGGTTCACCAATGTGAGGCCAGTTGAGCTATGTGATTTCTTTTCAAAAAGAAAGGGGAAGGCAAGGAGGAAGAGAGAGAAGAAGGGAGGCAGAGGAAAGGAGGGAGATAAGAGAGAGGAGGAAGAGATAGGGAGAGAGAAGCAGTTATCTCCTGGGCAGGAACATAAATAACCAAAAAAGTAGTATAAAGCTGGTAAATGCTAATGCCATAAACAACTCCTACCCACACAGAGGGACATGGGTGGTGATGCTCTAACCTGGCCTCATTCCAGTGCTACTGGTTGAGATGTTGTCTCGGCAACATACTTGATATACCACAAATAAAGATAAGATTTGGATTAAGGGATGTGGCAAGGGAAAGAAATTCACAATCTATTCTAAATATACAAATGTTTACCTGCAATGCTATTTTCCTTTGGGAATTAATGGCAAATTTTCTTTCCCTAAAATATCTTCTAATTTATTAATACAGTTTTAAAAGGCATTCATCTCTTTAAGGAATGGATGGCAGTATTTGAATATTTGAGAGCAATTCATAATGTACAACTCTTATTTTAGAATGCCTTTGAGGAAGACTGGAGTAGATGTTTACCAACCTTTTTACATTTAAATTTAATCTATTAAGACAATAAGAAGCTTTAAGCAGATCAAATTGGATGAGGTGAATTGCTAATTTAATTTTGCCAGATTTACAGAAGATAACCCAAACTCCAACATACATGCAAAGCATCTAAATCCAAGAAAATTATATTTCATTTTTTCCTTGGTTTTAAAAATCTTTTCCCAAACTCTCCATACTTTCTAAATGTCTACTCTCATGCCAACTGGCTACGGCTTCTCTGAACAGATTCAGATCAAGATGAGATTAGATACAATAGGACCTTGTGATGATATGAACAACATCTCAGCTAAATGGACCAGAAACATGAAACAGTAAGGTAAACAAAGCAAAATTCTTACAGCCTGAGCAGTGAAGTTCCCAGAGGAAAATTAAACATCCCCTCGGAGGGATGCATTTAATAGTATTTATATGAGTGCCCACTGTGAGCCAGAAATGGGTTTGCCCTGAGTTGCTTCCATATGTCTAGGTGCACAGTGAAAAGCCCCAATTTTAACTACATTTATTTTTTCTCCTCACTGAGTTTATTGGTACATTTTAGGTGTACAGTACAGTTACATTCATCATTGGGATCTTGTACCTTTACATGATTTATCTTGGTTCTCACTTTTCCCCTTTATCCCTGCCCTCCCTTCACCCCCTCCTCCCTTCCCTATTTACAAATACTTTATTTCCATTTTTTCATTTTCTCATGTTGTTTTTTCTTCTCCCTTATTACCTTTTCCCTACCCTTCCCATTTCCCCTACACCTTTAGCCCTTTTCTTTCTATTTAAATCAATGATAGTTGAACTCCAGAGTATCAGAAGCAGCCTATATGCCTTGTTATTCTGTTTAAATACTTTTCAGTAACACTATTAAAAATTTATTGCTTGTCAGAAATTCATGTAATCATTTGACTTGGATTACCTCAACATCCCTCACCTGATGAAGAAAGTACTACATTTAACCATTTTACCCAGAGGAAACCAAGGGAAAGACATATGGTAAGGTCCACGGCTGATTTAAAAGCCCATGCACTTATCCTCTGTGCTATATTCACTTTCAGAATTTTAATGATGAGGAAGAAAGCAGTGATGTTATTTATGGAACTATGAGGTATACACATTGGTATCTTAATGGCGACTAAAATTATTTCATTTTAAGCCAACTTTATCCACCTACATTAGTGAGCCATATACCAGTGAGGCATACAGTTTGGCTGTAGAACTAAAAGCTAACATTAATTGAGCCTTTAATGTGCTCCATGTGTTGGTCTAATTCATGAGGTAGATGCTATTTCTGTCTTCCCTACTAAGGTCCTGAATGATTAAAATTACACTACCAGGGAACCCCAGAGTCAGAATTCAAATGCAGGCAGCACTGTTCATGGGTCTAACTACTGCTCTGTACAGTTCAGTTTTTTTGTTTTTGTTTTTGTTTTTTTGTTTTTTTGAGACAGGTTCTCACTGTGTAGTTCAGACTGCTCTGGAACTCACTGTGTAGCCCAGGCTGGTCTTGAACTCACAGTGATCCTCCCGCCTCAGCCTCCCAAGTGCTGGGATTACAGGTGTGCACCACCACGGCCAGCCTATACAGTTCAATTTAAAGAGGCCAGGGAGCCAAGAGCGAAATGAATCTCATGACTTGACAAATGGGTCAAAACAAAATGCTTTAAAACAGTCAAAAGTTTCACCACTTTTTTCTTCTTTTTTTACATTTTTAGTTTTTATCAGCACATGTTTGCAGTATACAATGAATGATTCTGTTCCTTGTGGGGAGTTGGTATGTGTACACAACACACTTCAATTATCTTCTCCTCCCCTTCCTCTCCTCTCCTTCCCTGCTCTCTCCATCTCTTGATCCTGCTTAGGGCAT